AGTGCCAGTGAATCGAGCCGATCGGAAAGCACTCGGTCGTCGACGATTCGAGCCGCTCTGCTCTTAAAAAAACCTCTCTGAGTAAACCTATTATTTGAATATGTTTCCGCTTTCCAGTATATGTGTATGTATATGTATATAAGGTGTATGTGTATGTATATATGTATATGTATTTGACGACTCCTTGACGCAGTGGCTTAGCAATGAGTTACAGCGCTAAGGGCCGCGGGTTCGAATCCCGCACGGAACAAGAATTCGTATGGCCTATACAATAATTGTTCCGAGTCTGGATGTTTGTTCTTGTGAAATATATGTTTGTAAACTGCCTCCACGTTACAGGAGAAAATCCTAGTGTGGAGGTAATGTTTTTTTAAAAAAGAAGAAAAAATACACAAAAGAAGGGCACAACTTTACTTTTTTCCACAACTTTTTTTTATACTTCTACTTTTAGGAATCCCTATACCTATCTTTACCTAATCTTGTTTATCCATTTCTAATCTATATAATACGAAATATAACTAAGAAAGAAACATTAATCTCTACACTTTTCTAACAAATTATCTTTCCCCTTTATAATCATCATCATCATCATCATTACAGCTCATCACAAGTCCACTGCTGAACATAGGCCACCCCCAAGGTACGCCACAAAGCACGGTCCTGAGCCACCTGCATCCATCGACTTCCTGCATGTCTTACCAGGTCTTCACTCCATCTAGTGGGGGCTCGCCCTACTACTACGCCTACCGGTACGAGGCTGCCACTCGAGAACTCTTCTTCCCCAACGGTTGTCGGTTCTTCGAGGTATATGGCCGGCCCATTGCCACTTCAGCTTACTAATCCGTTGGGCTATGGCGGTCACTCTGGTTCTACTGCGGATATCCCCATTTCTAAGTTTATCACGCAGAGAAACCCCGAGCATAGCCCTCTCCATAGCTCGCTGAGCGACTTTGAGCGTCCTCATATGGCCTGCAGTGAAGGACCACGTCTCGGTTCCGTAGGTCATCACTGGCAACACGCACTGGTTGTACAACTTAGTTTTCAGGTTTTGAGGTATACCTGACGAGAAGATGCGTCGTAATTTCCCGAACGCTGCCCAGCCGAGTTGAATCCGTCGATTGACCTCTCGGTCGAAGTTGGACTTACCTAGTCGGACTATTTGTCCCAGGTAAACGTACTCGTCAACAACTTCAGCTTAGTGCTCCCTTCTACAATAACCGTCAAAAATTTTGTTTAAGCGACGCTGCCCTGGTAGCAGAAAAAGTGTATGTGGAAATGGAATCATGCGTCATTGACGCATGCTTAAAGATGTTAAACCTATTATACTTAACTCACTTATTCAACTGGTGTCAGTCGATGGCAAGTCTCATTGGTTGCAAAGTATGTACGAGTAAGTAATGTTTTGTGTGCAGGCTACACCGCGTGAAGGTACTTGGAAAAAATATTATATCCATATTCCTCTTATATCTCTAAGAACCTCCGTTATTACGAGTATAATGATCTTAACATAATCAAATAAAGGTAATTTTATACTATCGCGGTCCCCTCGTTTTTTGGATTTAGAAAATCGAAAAATCATCCGATTTCGATGATTTTTTAAAATCTTCGTTTTTATGGCGGATTTATGAAAAAAGTCATAAAACTACTTATATAAAATCTTCAGGTGAGATATTTTCCATATTCTTTTTCATAAATCCGCCATAAGAACGAAGATTTAAAAAAAATCATTGAAATCGGATGATTTTTCGATTTTCTAGAGCCAAAAAACGAGGGGATCGCGAAAGCATATAATTGCCCAAATAAAGTCCTCGTTTATTCATAATTATAAATTAAAATATTACCTGGCTGTAGTAAAAAGTTGGTTGCATGATCCACAGTTCCACATCTTGTTGCTGCTAGATTTGGAGTACGCTCGCCGGATTTGTCGTGTCTGTAGAGGTTTTTGACAAACACCTGGCTCCGCGATCGAGAGAATTCGTCCATCATGATTATTACAAGACTCTAATAGTTCGGAGAAATCTGAAGAAGATACTTTCGTATTGATTCGACCCTGTAAAAATATTAGAACAACAATGTAACCCTAGAATGTTATTGAAACCTTAAATCAATAATTTTTAAATTATGTTAATTACCTAATACTATTTAGAAACATATCAGTATCCTCTTAAAATTTCATCCTCTTATTGTCTCAACGAATAATTTACCCTAGTCATCTTTTAACGAGATAATTTTATTATTATTAAAAGTTGATCCTCACATCATCAGTAAAATGTTTACAACATTTTATTTTGTAAAGAGTTGCCGTTACCTTCACAGTCTATCAAAGTCCACTGCTGAACATAGGCCTCCCCCATAGAGTGCCTCATAGGGGGGATATTTGCCATAGTTGGCACGTTAGGCAAGCGTTTTGGCAACCGCATTTTTTATTTTTAGTTGTTATTTGGAAGTCATTGCTGCTGATCTCCCGACTTGTTTTCGCAGAAATCTATTATTATTTAGATTTCTGTGTTTGTTTCCCTCCGTCGCCTCTTACGATACCCACGGGATGATATGGGATAGTGGATATTCTTACACCGCCACTTAAAAGAGGGCTGATATATTTATTCTAGATTTATATGTGTGTATCATTAACATATTAAAAAAAATTAAAATGGTGTATGACAATAATATAAGAAGGTAAAATAACGACTACCGCCATCTAGCGTACCTTAAGTATGTGCAGCTTAGAAAAAAAAATCTTAAAACTTGAACAGGCACAGTACATATAGTACCTATTACTTTGAATCATTTTTGTACTTTAAAAATTGCTAGTTTTATTTTTATAATTAATCACTAAAGTAACGTATCTGCCAAAGGAAAAAGAAGTTACGAAAATTGCAGAAAATAATAACATAATCACTTTCACCTTTCACGTGTTCTTTTATAGATATAATTTAATAGTACACTATTAAATTATTATAATCAAACAAAAAGCAGTAGAACTAAATTATTTATGTTGCTTTTTGTTAGGTTACAATAAAACCTCTTTTTATTCTTAATTATCAGCCCGTTAAAAACATTTGCTGGACATGGTTTTCTCGTTCTTCTGTTGTTGGGAGGATGTGTGATAATTACCAGTTGTCTCAAGCATTTGACGGTGGCCCACATCTCAGGTCTGGCTATTTTACGTGTGTAATTGGCACGGTAATATATCTCTCGGAATCCAAAAGATCTAGCTAGCATTACACATTTCTAATAAGAGAGTAACTGTTTTTTTTATGGATTATTGCCTACCGCTGATGACACGTAACTTGGTGCGTTTTGTAAACAGCAGGTGAGCCGGTGTCGGTCCAGAGCATCCCCGTCAGCGAACAAGTAATTGCAGTAGTCGCAGACGTACATGGCGTTCAGTTTCCGTGACGAAATATTATGTTTTCCACTATTATCGTTGCAACACAACTGTTCTATAATAAAAAAGACTTTCTATTAAAAATAATAAAACCTGCAAAAGCGTATAAGATATTAGTAAAACCTTTCGTATACATCACGGAAAACTACATAAATAAATGATGATGATATCCTTCAAGCTGTCGAGAGAGCCGTAACTATATACGACAGGCTACGAAGGAAGTTTTGTGAATAAAGTTTTTTTTTCGTATGAGACACAGGTCACTATTAATTTTGAAAATACGATTATTTGCAAATAAAATTACGAATGTTGAAATTCACCTAATTTTTTACGAAATAAATTGAAATATCGTATTTCATTAAAAGATTGTTCTGCGTCGGGAGTATTATTTTCGCGCGTTGATTTTTTACGAATCGTTTGATAGAGTTCTAATGGTATTTATGGATAATTTTAGCGCGGTCTACTTTGAGAGATATTGAAATTAGTGGTCGCCGTTAAAGAATGTTACGGAAGGAAAAATGTCAACAGTGAAAAATGTTATTGAAAAGAATAGGCGAATTATGTTTATAGTGATTTAGCATATATTGCAGATTAGTCGGGAAGCGTTCACAAAATCCTACACGAACATCTTCGCGTATGGAGGATATGTTAAGCGTTGAGCACCGCACAACCTCACCGTTGCAAAGTCCGCGTGGAAGAGTGCTGTGACATGATTACTAGGTAAATTTAAAGCAGGCTCGTCTCGTCAAAATTATTTCAGGCAGATTATGAATCTTGGATTTATTTATACGATCGAAATCGTCGAAGTGCGAATTGTCGGTTTGGTTGTTTCAAAAAGAACCAATGCCTACCAAAATGAAGAGATTGTGAAGCGCATCATATTTGATCGCTAGTTTTTCACTTTGACTGTGTATCTGGTGTCAATGCTTTTACGAAATCTAAGTAGCCTCAATGCCAGCTGGTATAATGCCAAACGATTGCCTGAAATGTTCACTGCTGTGAGTAATAAACGGCTGAACACGAGACTCGGCGTGCTAATATTTAACATGACATCGCGCCTTCGCATTCAGCCCCATAACGAGGACTTCCTGGACAGCACACGGTTAGGTTGTGGAACATGTGTCTGAGGCGAACTTGAAAACGTGTTTTCAAAATTATTCGGGTGCATGAAATTTTATGAAGAATTCTTTGAAAAGATGTTAAAGAACGAACTAAAGTTAGTTTTTTTCGAAACTTTCTGAGAGGCCCATGTGTTCCCAAATTCCTAAATTCTTATCGTATGAGAGTTCTGTGTGCGATTTGTTAGTAGTTTTGTTTTAAGAATTGCTCTTAATAAAAAGGGCCCTAGGATAAGTTTGCTCTGAGACAATACTTTCGACTTAATTTTAATTCACCCGTATAGATTTCTTCATAACATTTGATTTAGAAAAGAATCAGATCCATCCAATTGCGTCTAGCTCACAGTTCCCTACCTTACGTTCTGCAATGAAACCTCTAAAACTTTTAATGTTTGCAATTACATAGGAAAAGTCTGGGAGTTTAGGATTCTCCTCGAATTTGGAAGTGAATGACATACAAAGATAAAATCTTGAAATGTATTTGTTATATAATGTTAGTTTGTTAGTTCACTTAGGTAATGTTGAGATGTAATGTTCTCACCGTTGGGTTCTGCTTCCAAAGTTGTAGACAGCACTCGCTCGCATATAGAGCACACTAACCAGTCCGTATCAAAATTTTGATTTCCACTACTCGATTCTAAGATGAAAACAAATAAATAATTCCTTTAATTGTATTAATTATACTATATTATAAATACACCCAATTGTAATAATTTGCTTTGCTATATGCCGGCAGTGCGGCGTGAGAATATCTGTTGATTCATATCGTGGATGTCCTAAGAGATGATCATAACAAGTGCTGGAAAGATGCATAATGACGGTTGAACTTATAACCATCTCATTTGGTGTATATGAAATGTTTATGCAATAAAACTATACCAACGAAGGTAAGTAGTGCCAAAAGTGCTAAATTTTTGGTATTAATATCGTCAAAGGCCCAAATTTAGCGGTGGAGTGTTAGTCGAATCCGGCTGCTAAACGAAAAAAAGAGCGGAACCTTTTCGGAAGCATGGCCTGTCAAATACATTGTATTGTGAATTTCTGCAATATCAGGGGACTTCATTCTAAACTAAACGCCGTCCACTACCATCTCGAGACAGCGAGGCCGGCTCTGCTCTTTCTGACCGAGACGCAGGTGTCCTCTCCGGCTGATGTTTCGTGTCTCTCCTACCCGGGGTACAAACTGGAACACTCCTTTGTGCCTCGGGCTGGAGTTTTCGTATACGTCAGAGAGGACATCTGTTCTCGTCGCGTCGAAGACTGCAGTCTTGAAGGTTCGGGCCTGTCCATCCTTTGGCTACGCGTTGACAGCGACGACCATCCACGCGTCTACGGGTGCCTCTTTAGGTCCCGTAGCGGTAACGCCAAAACAGACCGACTCTTCGACCACGTCCAAATAGCTACAGATTCGTTGCTACAGCAGATCCCCTCCGTAGGGATCGTGATCCTCGACGATTTTAACGCCCACCATGCCGAATGGCTTGGTTCACGTTCAACTGATCATGCGGGGAGATCTGTTCATAATTTTGCTTTGGCATATGGTCTAACATAACTGGTTATTTCGGCTACGCGGATTCCAGATGTGGAGGATCATACACCTTCCCTGTTGGATCTTCTGCTGACCTCTCATCTGGACGGATATCAGATTTTCGTCAACGCCCCTTTAGGCTCCTCGGACCATTGTCTTGTCCGGAGTGTGGTGCCACTCACGCTGAAGTCTTAGTTGCATTCTGCAGGTTGCCGCTGTGTTTGGCACTATAGATCAACTGATTGGGATAGGATGCGGTCTTTCTTTGCATCCTACCCTTGGGGGCGGGTTTGCTTCTTGCTGGACGATCCCAACGATGTTGCTGATTCTGTCGCTGATGTGGTACTTCAGGGCGTGGAACTTTTTACTCCTTCCTCTGTGGTGCCCATCGGAGGCAAATCAGGGTTGTTGTAGACGGTGCAAGCTCGGGTTACAAGCCTATTAATACTGGTGTTCCACGAGGCTGCGTGCTATCACCAACGCTGTTTCTTCTGCATATCAATGATATTTTGCAAACCGGCAACATTCATTGCTATGCAGATGACAGCACTGGTGATGCTCTGTACACCGGCCGTGCCAATATTTCTCGGGAAAACGTCTCCGAGTACCGGAACAAACTTGTGTCTGAAGTCGAGTCTTTGCTGAACAAAGTCCCGGAATGGGGGCGACTAAATCTAGTCCAGTTTAACCCTCAGAAGACACAAATTTGCGCGCAAGAACCCCTTTGTCGTATCTTCTCAGTTTCAAGGCACTCCCCTTGTTGCCTCAGCCAGTATCGGAATCCTCGGCGTTGACATATCGAGTGACGTGCAGTTTCGGGGTCACTTGGAAGAGAAGGCTAAATTGGCCTCTAAAAAGCTTGGCGTGCTCAGCAGTGCGGCACAGTATTTCATGCCGGCACAACGACTGCAACTTTACAAGACGCAGGTTTGGCCGCACTGAATACTGTTCCCATCTCTGAGCTGTGGCTCCCCAGTGCCAGCTCCTTCCACTTGACCGCATCCAGCGCAGAGCGGCCCGAATCGTCGACAACCGAATGCTTTCCGATCGGCTCGATTCACTGGCGCTGCGAAGAAATGTTGCATCTCTTTGCGTATTTGATCGCATCAATCACGGGGAGTGCTCTGAGGAGTTGTTCAGATTAATCCCAGCCGCCAAATTTCATAAACGCACTACGCGGAAAATCTCCCGATCCTCCCCATCCACACCATCTGGATGCTTGGTGGTCCACCACTGTGCGTTTACAAAACTAGGAGTTTTCTTTCGCGTACGATCTCACTGTGAAATAATTTACCACCGGCGATTTTTCCGGACCTATACGACCTGGGGACCTTCAAAAAAAGAACTTACTCCTTTCTAAAGGGCCGGCAACACACCTGCAATTCCCCTGGTCTTGCGATTGTTCATGGGCTGCGGTAGTCACTTAACATCAGGTGAACCGTATGCTCGTTTCCTCCCTCTTCTATAAAAAGTCATGGATTTAATTTTTATATGTGTTTGTATAAATGAAATAAAATTAGGTCATTTAACCTGTTGACTATCAGGAGAAGCAGCATCATTAGTGCGTAAGATCAGGTATACGTTTGCTAACCCGTTGAGCAGGAAGCGTGGTATATCTCTAACGTTATGCATGCCATTGAATAATAATAAGGGGCAAACATTAAAGGATCAAGAAGGTCAAAGAGAGGGCTCAGCTTGTGCCGTAATGATACGCATCCACACGCAGCTGGTTTTCAGCCTCGAGGTGCGTGCGTGAGTGATATGCATGTGTAGTAGGCTGATAATTGATAATGGTAAAAATGTTGATAGGATCTTATTAAATCGTAAGTTTACATACCAAACAACGTATCGTTATTATTAGGTAAATTGTTTTGGTTTCCATTCACATTATTATCTGAAGCATGCAAAGATATTGTGTGATCGAGAAGATCAGCTTCCATAGTAAATATTTCATGACATACAGCACATGAGTGCAGAGCCAATAAGTCTGGTCCGTTGCCCTCCACATCCTGGAAGAAAATTCCTTTAAATTAAAAGAACATTTTTGATATTTTTTCAATCGATTGGTTATAATTTTAAATGAAACTACCTTATTGTTTCCTGCTGACGTATTTAGCGGTAATAAAAATTGATTAACAGTGTTATCATCCAATAACGTCGGCTCTAAGTTGAGCAGGTCTGGCTGAACAACATAAAGTTCAGTATTTCGTTCTAGATTCGCTGCTGCGAAGTCTGTAATAGATGCGTTCTCGAGGTTGAAGTGTCGTCCGGAGTGATTAGAATGAAGCGATAATTGACTATTGATGCCAGCAACTATCTGATCTGTTACATTCTCGGGTATTTCACTGACGCTCATTACTGAGTCGTTGTTCGATATATCGTTACTAAAGAGATCTTCCGCGCCATAATGATCTCTTAAAGTTTCCGATAGCTCTCTGTACGGGAAGTCGGGCGGATCGAACATCATTTTTACGTCTAAAACAAAGGATTACGTTATTGGAAATAATATTTTATAACATTTTTGGTAAATATAACATGTAGACTTTCAACGAATTCTTCTTTTATTCTATGTGATTAAATACCGAATATCTATGTATAATATATATCGGCTGAATAACGAATACTTAGGTAAAATGTTTTGTTGTAGACAGATACGGTGGTGGATTTTCCTTGAAGCAAACTAGGCACGTGCGTAAGGGGCGTAGAGTTAAAAAAACGTTGTGCACGGAAGTTTTTAAACGAAAAATAATTCGTCGTATTTGATTACTCCTATATCTCCCTTACTCTGTTATCACGTTTTTCATTCAATTTAATTCAATTATTTTGGCAGTATTAAACTACATTATAAAATGCCTATGTTCAGCAGTGGACTTGTGAAGGGCTGTCATGATAATAATGATGATAAAATATGATATAGTTCATTTGCAAAATGAGTAGTCATAATATATGGCCGCTAGAGAGGCGCCGATGAGGTGCTACTCTAACCTGGGGCGCTGTCGACATTTAATCCGCCTCGGGTCAGATAATTGGAAAAATGAAAATATTGATTTATTTTATAAAAATTTATTTTTTTACAGTAGTCATAAGTACATAATCAAATTCCGTATTATAAAAAATAACAATATACAATTCAATAATTGTCTATGCACTTGAATTATCGTAATTAAACTTTGAAGTGGAATGATGGTGCAGAAAGACGATTTTTTCTGCATTTTCAGACAGTATTTCTACCTTCCTTTTCTTATCATAGATAATCTCAGCTTTAGAGAAAAGACGTTCAGAAGTATGTATGTAATTATATTATTTAATGGAAAAATGAGTTTATACCTAAGTATACATAGTCAACACAATTTCTCAAACGAGATCTTTCTTCATTGGGTGTCTCCTGTTAAAAGCAATAGAAATTATTGCTCAGTTGTTTGAATATTTGTCTGTCACATCATACAAACATACTTGTTCCGTGCGGAAATCTAACCCGCAGCCTCCAGCGTCACTGCCGAACACTCATCTACTGCGCTAACAAGCCATCTTAGAAATGGGTTGTTAATTAATACCAGTTACTCGACTCCAAAGGGTCAGCAATTCTTTCATGGGGCAATGTATTACGCTTTTACAATAAAAAATCTCTGGACTTATCTATGAAAAAGTTTAAAATTTTTATCAAGCAAAAATTGTTTAGTAAGGGTTTTTATACTAGTAAAGAGTACATGAATGATAATAGCCCTGGGAATGAGGTGGTGCTGTTGCTAATGTCTTCATACCAAATTGATTTTATTCAAAAATATAACTGCGGCTGGTTTTCTTGATGGTTCTTCCCAGTACAGAGGTTTTTTTACGAATCAGTGGTAACTGTGGTAAAGTAAAAAATAACTTTCAGTAAGTATTGTTGTAATCTAGATTAAACCAGCTTTTGCCCGCGACTTCGTCCGCGTAGAAGAAAATGGTTCTGATAGGTTTAATTGGTTTTTTACGTTATTAATTTTGTTACAACATATAAATTATTATGTTAAAATGTCTGAATAATTATAAAATATAACAATATTTATAATAGTGTAGGGATTTAAAGGTAAAATAAAAACGAAAATAAAATAAAATTTTGTTATATTTTATGAACACGAAGCTCGGCCTTTGATCTGGTGAAAGTGACACGGGGGTATTATCTTTTTACAACGAAATTGAAATACTACACTTACTGCAGTATTTCTTTGTAAACAATATTTTTTGTTTTTCCTTCCGTTGATTTCCACCAGGCTACTCTGTGCGCTTCCTCTGGAACATGTCACATACAACTGACCTTGGGAGAAGCAGCTTTCTCTCAAGTATACTCCCGCTACCATAAGAGTTAGACCTTGAGCATTGTTTATGGTTATGGCGAAGCAGATTTGATAGGAAACTGCACTCTTATCAATTCGAAGAGGTAATTTGATGGTGTTAGGGAATCCTAGGATTAAATACAGACTCTCCTCGAGAACAACCTATCAGTATAGTTGCCTCGATACATTGCGATGCAATGTTTTCACTTGCAATCCGGTGCCACTGGATAATTTTGGTGGATTTATATTGCACAGAAACATAATTAGCGCGCTCAACTCTCAATTTTTAAATGTGAGTTGGGAGACCGGGGGCTTCAGTGTATTCAGGAACTCGACAGGATAATGAATGGCATCATCGTGTATATCACTGTGTCGACGGATTTATATTGATATTCGACCCCTTCGAATGATCTCAAATACAAAAAAAAAAACGAGCAACAAGCCTCAGTCATTTATGACCTAAGACTTTCGTTTTTTTGGTGTTAGGATGGCATGCTTGCATAACCATTCTGCAGGTTTATCGTGAATATTGTTAATGTTTGGGTAAATTTTAGCTATAAGCTCTTCTACTGTGGAAACAATTGTAGCTAACTTTGTAGGGTGAATTATATTATTATCAGTTCCGAGAAATCACCATTTTATATTTTAAGAAACGGGTCTGAGAGCTGTACGGCAGTATGATCTCCATCTAAGATGGACTCTCATATTTTTGGTAAGTCTCAGTTTTGTACTATGAGACAAATGAGACCGCTCACCAACTTCTCTAGGCACTACTGTAGTATCGCCTGCTAACAATACAGTAACTCCCATTTGACTATTACTACTCCTAGTGTCTTGTAATGATCTATTTAGGGCTTACCCCCTTTGTGAGCCATAGTACTCTCATCCCAAAAAATTAATTTCGTTTATAAACAATTTTTACGTTTACAAACAGTTTTTACTTATGCCATATTACTTTGTTTCGGTATATTGTAGAGTGGGGTTTCGGTTTGTATCAAATGGAGAGGAAGCTTAAACGCCTCCTTCCAGCAGAGTGGCAGCAATTCCGTACGATGCAACCGCTATGGCGATACCACAATTGCTTCTTACTTTGGCCAACAGTAAATTTAATAGAAAAGTCTTGTCTGCTCGACCAGGAGCATCCAAAAAAAAAAGGTATCAACTACACCTGCGTCGATACTGGAAAGTATTTTATAATAGATATGTCTTTGTTCATTGATTAGAAAGCCTTCACTACTTGACACCAGTTCTGCTAAGGAATTGACATCGTAACTTGATTCCTTCAGGTAGTCCCGGTTATTGTGTAAGCCTTCAGACCTGTGAGGCTAAAGCAACCTGTATTGCTCTAGACATTGCCCTCCTAATGCTAATACAGGTTCACCTATTGTGACCAGACATTTATTGTAGATTTCATCTGCTAGATATTCATCTATAATTCCAGAAAGCTATTCCACTTGTCATTTGTGGTCTTCTGTATTTTACCCAAAGACTTAGGCGTCCGTAATCTGATAAAATGCCAGCACTATAGAAAAAGTTCACACATTTTAAATAGCGACTCGCATTTTAAGGCTGATTCCTCTAGGGCAGAATCCCAATGTTTGTCGTTCTCTAGCAAACCACGTTTCATGCAAGCTAATTGAAAAGTTGGTTGGAGGACACCGCTGATAGCCTTCAAGTCAAAGGATTTCGAAGGAAATTCAATCGAATGATGATGGACCTCTAATCTCGTGCAGAAGTAAGCGAAGATGGTAGTTCTGTGTTATTCAGGTGAACCGTGTACACTCTACATAGAGCGTGTTCTTTCATTATTCCTGGCCAGCCATCTACGGGTTTTCCTCTTTTCCTTCTCACAAATAAATTTTTTTGCAATACAAATTATGAAGGCACTTCCGCATGTAGAAGGGTTTTGCCAAAATCAGCTGTTTGACCTAAATTAAAAAATGCTAACAGTGTCGTTTTTGGTGGACTATTAACTTTGTCGGTGAGGTTGTCGGAATTAAAATAGACTCGTTGGCCATTTTCAAGGTGGACAGCTAAATGTATGACTGCGGGAAACCTTTCATGTATGGAAAATCCTAAAGTCCTGCAAACTGCCTCCGAACTACTCAATAACGCCCACTCTCATATAATTTGACTTCGTCCTTTTTGTTTTCTAGCACGAAAGCCGCCGAACCGAAAATATATCTGTAAGAACTGTGATTCATTCTGGGGTGGTGGAAGCAAACTTCCAACCAAAAGATACACCTGCCCCTGCACTTTAAATGTAGGCGTAAAACCATCCTGTACCTGTTACCTCCAAATGAGATAATTTGAAAACAACTATTATAATGCCGTATGCCAGCCATGAATTGCACCAGCACTTTTGAAAGTCCATGTGGCCCGAAGCCCGAACTCACTAATGCCGCTACGGCACTCCTAGTCGGATTATTATACGGCTATGCACAAGCTTTCTCTCTCAAAAAATGTGTCCAGATTACTTGATAGTAAATCGACTCCGAAACGACTAGATTCCTTAGTCGAAACAGCTAGAAGGCAGGCCTAATCTTCGTCACTTCGGAATATATGAAATAATCTTTCTACTCACTCCGTATCAATGAAATATCCCATTGTTTTTGTTGGTTAACTTTTAGTGGAACATTTTATTAGGTACTTTATTATTTGAAATTTTGTTATATAAAACAATGATACTATGCGAGGCGTACAAGATTTCTTACACCGATACCTTCTTTTATATGTAAACTAGCTTGAATCCAGGCTGTTCATCAATGTTCTCTTCATCATTACAGTCCTTCATAAGTCAACTGACGAACCTAGGCCTAACCCGAAGAATGCCACAAAGCACCGTCCCGAGCCACCTGCATCATTGAATTCCTCTATATCTTACCAGGTCGTGACCACATTTAGTGGGGGAGTTGCCTCACACTTCGCCTACCTGTACGGAGTTACCACTCCAGAACCTCGCTTACCCATCGGTTGTCAGTTCTACGAGCTATATGGCCGGCCCATTGCTACTTTAACTTACTAATCCGTTGGGCTAGCTGTGTCTGATTCTACTCCGGATAATCTCATTTCTAAGTTTATTAGACAAAGAAGCAGGCAAACCCAGAGCATAACCCTTTCCACAGCTCGCACTATTGAGGTCATTGAGCATAGTGCTTAGATCCTCTAGCGATTCTGCCATAAGGACTATCATCGGAAAATCGAAAGTGAGTAATGTACTTGCCATTGATGTTAATACCGTATCATTTCCAGTCCAGTAGCTTGAAAACGTCTTCCAACGCAGCGGTGAAGAGTTTTGGGGATATTACGTCACCCTGTCTTACATCTCTCTGCAGTTGGATAGGTTTCGTACTCTGGTTCTGTACTCGGATGGCCATCGTAGTCCTACTGTAGAAACACTTCGATAGACCGACGGTCAATTTAGATCCGCTAAATGTACTGCAGCATCGCCCAAATTTCGACGAAATAAAAGGCTTTCTAATAGTCTAATCTGTAGTTCTTCAAGAGAGCGTTGCCGCCTTGCTTGAAGAACAAGACTACTGCACTTCTTTCTTGTCTTATCTTTATATAAATAATTCTCCTATCTGTGCATATGTGACTGAATTCCTCCTAAACGGTTGGACTGATTTTGATGCAATTTTGTGTATGTGATTTAGTTTATTCGAGAATATTTTTGATTCACAATTGACCCCGCTAGGTGGCGCTGTTGTTAAGATACAGTAATCACCCGTGTGAAGCTGGGGCGGATCGCTACTATATACAGGTAAATTTAGAATTTAGACAATTTTTTGCTATTTTAATATTATATCAATATCTTTTAAAATATTCGAACATATCCAGACTTGAGTAGAGCAGAGTACGTTTCTTTATATTCCCATGTTTTTTGTAGGAATCCGAACGCTTATTGTCAAAAATGTCAATATGTCATGTGCATTTGACATTGACGTTTCTCAGTTTTGTTGATTGTTTGGGTTTGAAGAGTTAATTTAATTTATATTTAAAAAATCAGTTTTTTTAAATAAACATGAAAGTCGACCCAACACAGTCTTCGGACAAGCCTAAAATACCTTTGCCGACCCTGTCCCAAATCAATGCTGACAGAATAACGCAGGTAAGACAAAAAGTAGGGTTATGTATATAATTGCTCAATATTTGTTAATGAAATTAAATTAAATTAATTTTATAAATAAAAATACTTAAAGTGCCAAAATTTATATTTGTAAACGAACAGTTTTTTAGTATATCGCAAGATGTTATAGTAAAAAGGTAACTTTTTTTCTAACTTGTTTAAGTCTAAAATTTTAAATATATTGTAAGAAGATCCTTTAAAAAAATAGTATTTGTAACGGGTAATAAATTTATACAAAAATTGAGTTTTTTGTTGTCCACGGAGCTCGAATCGTTCCATTATTTAGATTATATACTTTATTGTTTTTGAACATAATTATTCATTGTCATTATCATTATAATTAATACAGTCCATCACAAGATCACTGCTGAATGTAGGCTCCTCCCACAGATTGATATAAAACTTGATCCATATCCATCTGATACTGGTCTACACAATATTTAGTGGGATTTGCCCTACATAGCTTTTCTTAACAGTATTATAAACATATTAAACACATTCAGTATTTCACGAGTTACACACTAATTGCAACTTTTCTATAAGTATTGTCTGTAGCACAAAATCACACTGTCAGGTTGTTTGCTTTCAACACCAAATCTTCAGTTTTGTTTAAATATGTTGATAAATGATAACTAGTGTGATAAGTATATTATAAATATAGACCGTTTATTATGAACTAAGCTTTATTAACTGAAGATCGGGCTAAATGGCACGCCTTGGAAGAGGCCTATGTCCAGCAGTGGAGTGCCGCAGGCTGATGAGGACAATGATGATGAAGCTTTATTAGACCTATTTTTATAGTGATGAACAAGCTCACAGTCCACCTAATGGTAAGGGGATGCTGAAGGCTATCCCCAATATAGAATTAAAATGTAAGTGTATTGCCACACTGAAGACTAAGATATAAATTCACATTATGAGTAAAAAGGTTCCCAACAGTACTTTCCCAGTTGAGCCTATCCATTTGTGCTGCAACCATAACATGCATGCTGCAGTATACCTCTACCACATTTTTATGTGGTAGAGCCATGCTGCAGCTATAATGTGGTTGCAGCATGAATGGGTCGACTCGACTGGGGTAGGACCACACACTCCTGTGAGTGTAATACCAGTGTAACATAGCAGCTTAGTGCTGCTGTGTTTCCTCTGGTGAGTGTCGAGAGCCAGTTACCCTTTTTACTGGAAACGAGGCATTCCATCTCAGTCCTCAGGGCTGGCAACATATCAGCATTTCTACTCTTAATTGAAGATAAATGTAGATGCTGTGGTCTACAGACATCTGTCTATGGGCCACAGCATCCACTCACCATCAGGTGAACTGTGTGCTCGTTTGTCACCCTTATTCTATAAAAAGTGCCTTTATTCAAATGTGTAAAATGAAAAATATTTGATGGTTACAAAATTATTACAATAATAATAATATTTTCAATAAATGGGAAATAGATAACTTGCAATTCACTCAAATTAGTAGGGAATAAAAACTAAAAGTGTATATAACATATAGTACATAACTTTTTTTTAAATAGCACTAATTTGAATAAACTTATTTGTACTATTAATAGGAAAAAGATGTGATCCTTTGCCCTTTGCAGTAATGAAGCAGCCTACTGGTATTTATATAAATGCTGGGGCTTTAAAAAATCTAGGTAACACTGCTCATTGAATTAGCTAACAAATCTGCATGGTTACACTTTTGTTCACAGCTTGCAAATCAGTACTGGTCACCACAAACAAAGGATAGCCACTTACCTTATGATGCTTCAATTGTGGAATCAATATATCAAACAGAGATACTTGGATCCAAGTAAGTTTTAGTTTTATTTACCAAAATAATTTCTATAACACTTTCACTTTTAATATTTCTGAGCCTAACTGAATTAAAACATTTGAATGACTTAAAGGTCAATGCCCTCATGGATTAGTGCATTGACCTATTTCTTTTTAAAATTTAGCCAGTAGTGATATTTAACAAGAATTTTATTTATAGAACAATAGAATAAGTTAATTAGCACTTTTGTTTTTTTTTTAAATAAAACTTTAATAATTAAGATCTACAGGATAAAATATTTTGAAAAAGCATTTTTTATATTATTTAAAAGTGCGATTTTTTTAATTAAATTTATTTTCGTTTGTACTATACACTGATGTTTAAAAATTTGATTATTAATGCCTTTATCTGTAACAAATACCAAATATATTTTTCAGTTTCTCAGTTCGCCGGATCATGATGCTAGAATTCTCACAGTACCTGGAAAACTACCTGTGGCCGCACTATCAAGCAGGAGCAGCTTCTCATGCACACATGATGTCAATAATTGTTATGATTAATGAGAAATTCCGTGAGAGAGTGCCTGCCTGGCAGGTTAGTATCTATACAATATTTCAATTTTACTTATTTTTAAAAATATGGGAAATAATGTCAAAAGTGTGATCTGATGCTACAGTCGTCAAACTGTTTGCAAAGAATGTTAAATTCGGTAAGTTATGGTAACTACGGATGAAGTGAAGCACAAAAAATTGTTTAAAAAATTATATAATATAATATTTGTTGTTTGGGAGAGAATTCATCGCCTTGCTTTTCCCGCTATAAATATTAAAATTTTAAGCAAAAGAAATGCCAGGAAATCTCAGTGGTTTTCAATAGATTACAGCATGACTATCTGCATTATTCGTTATTCCCTTGCAACCTTTCAAAATTTTACTGATGATCACAGGCTTCCCAAATAAATTGCCTTTTGGATATTTGCCATTGTTTGCCACGTTTGGCAAGGGGGTTGGCATCTGCAGTTTTTTTTATTATTTTGAGTTGTTATCAGAAACATGCTCCTGTCCATCTCCAGTTTCCCTCTGTTGCCTTTTACAATACTTAAAAAGATAATATGGAGGAATGTATTTATGGTTGTTAAGATTAGGCGATGCTCATTCAAATTTGAGAAATGTTATTATCCTAGCAAAATAAATTAGCATTTTAGAGTAAACTATACTGTAAGATATTCAAAAATATCTTTTGTAACATTTATAGGATTGGATGCTTATCCTGGCCTCTATGTGTTTAAGTATCTTATAATGGTCCAAGTGTTGTAGTTGCCACCTTCCATCATGTGGGCTGGTAGCTTATTTGTCATTTAAATTTAAGCGACAGTAGCCTAATCGCAGGGTGGATCAAGAACTTCAAAGGGTTGTGGGATCGAATCTACCATTCGACTACTACACAACCACTCCTGACACAAAAATCTTAAGATTACCAGGAGTAGTTAAAGGGAATGTTAGTTATGTTGATAGCATTGCTAGCTTAAAAATAAAACGTTATGTTGCCAAATCATTCATACATTTCTGATTCTGATCTGATTTTTACCAATTCTTTACTGTTTTCGTTTTCAATTTCAGGCTTTTCTGAAGAAACCGGAACATTTTCCGGCGTTCTTTGAGCAAGTGCTGCGCGCTAGTGTTGCAGACGATCACACCAGCCGCAGCATGCGGGAACAGACGGCTCTACTGTTATTTCTGAATCATTGCTTTGGCAGTATGGAGGTGCAGCTATGTAGAGATCAAGTCAAACGTCTAGTATCGCTCAGCATGTGGATAAGTTTACAAGAAGGTAATTGTAATGATGCAAAAATACTTTGGTCTGCTCATCCCCTACTTTACCATATGCTTGTTTGTAATGGAAAGCATAGTGAAGAAACCTGCATGTGATAGGTATATAATTTCATTTGAGGACATGTGAAGTTCTTTAACACGCACTGGGCAACGTGCCGGACTAATAATCCATAATCCCCTTCGGAAATTAGAGTTTATCGGTTGTAACTTAAATTTACTTTACTTTAACTATGTTCTAATGTGACAGCTTATAACCTTTCAACTGTAGCACTTTTCCTTTCCATTCCCCTCGCTTTTTTGAGAACTTCTCGCTGATTTTTATTGCATGATGACCGTCATGAGTTAACACTGATTGATCAACATGTATTGATATGAATCGTATTTTACATACTGATGGCTTAAAGTTGTGCAAAATTAGTGATAATTAGCTGCATCGACACTGTTTAATAGGTAGCGATATGGTTGCATTCAATCGAGTTACAGTGTAAATGAATTGTGATAATAATATTTATTTTCATTTACACAATATGTTTTCCTACCAATTATAAGCTATACAAGTAATGGTGGTATATCTTTGTTTGATTGAGGACATGCCGTAAGTTTTGAATAAACATAGTTAGCGTATTTTGCTTTTAATTTTTAATTATAATGAATCCTTCCTTCCTACCTTAGTTCCTTTGCAAGCACCAACAACTGTGAAATTCAACATCCTTATACAACTATACATATATGAGTGTGTTATATCACCTTCACATGGGGGACATTTTCCATAGTTGCCAAACTTGGTAGTCGGGTTGGCAATCGCAATTTTAAAACTTCTAAGTAAATCATTAAAATGCTGGGTTATATCTTTCAGGATGTTGAACTTTTAGCTTTAAATTTTAGATCCAATTTATATGATCTTATAAAATAATTTTTTTTTGTTAAATACAGATTACAATTAATTCTTATTGAAAGTCAATATTTTACGTTACCACTAGTTCGAAAAAAAACCTCTGTCCTGGGAAGAACCAGCGAGAAACCCAGCGGGACTTTTTTTTGAAATAAATTTTAATATAGTATAGTATGTTGAAATATTGCAGGAGCGTGTTTAGGTTTGTAACATTTTGTTGTTGGTTCGTATAGTAAAATTACACTGGAGCGTATTATACTCATAACAAAGTATATAGCAGTAAACATGTGTCAGCTTAACTTGGAAAAGAATTCGCTCATAGAATACGAGCATAAAATAGTCGGATAATGCTGCTGTGTTTGTTTCGTATGGTGAGTGACGTGAACCGGATACACTTTGTACCGGTAACAGGCATTCCATCGTAGTTCTCATGGGTCGATCGCATTTTGAATCTTAATTGAGGATAGATGTTGGCATCTTTGGACCTTGACATCCACTCACCATCAGTTCAGGTGGATTGTGTGCTCATTTGTCACCCATCTATATACAAAAACATAAACACATCAACAGATTCTAGGGATACCTTAATCTTAATTATTTACGACGTTATAGTTTAAAGTATTTTTAGTTTTTATAAATAGTAAATATACAGATTGAAACCTCTTTTATTCAATTTTCAAAATTTATAAATGCGAATAAAAATAACAAAAGAAAAAACAAAATACGGCAACAAAATTGTAAGTAATTCGTTTCGTTAGGTCAAGGATATTAATTAATGAAAAGGGGTTAGATTGTTTTTATTTTTTAATTTAACGTGACATGTGAGCTTTAAGAGTCATGTCACGTCGTCATTTGAGTCGAGATGAAAAGTTAGAAAATGGTGCTATTTAACGCGTCGTTGTTGAGGACCTACATACTAGCCAAAATGTGATATCGAGGTTATGGTCACGTTATCGCAGTAGTAGGGATATGGGTGGACGGCACACGGATATATATCGTGTACGCATAAACAGGATCGATTTCTGCAAAGGACCGCCAGTAGACAACCCAATATCACAGCAATGCAACTACTACAAAGCTCCAGGAGGACTACCAGTTGCTGGTAAGCGACCAAACCGTGCGAGAGGTTGCATGTAGTTGGTCTTCATGTTCGAAGACCGCTACGTGTTCCAGCATTGGGACGTGGCAATCGCGGCCGCGGCTTTGCTCGGAGTATTTACCATGGAGTGACGAATAATCTTTGGTGCTATTCACCGATGAGTCCTGGTTTGGGTTTCATCCGGATTTACGAAGAACATGCGTTTGGAGAATTCCAGGAAGAGTTAGTCACCTCAATCATCCTCATGAGGTCCACTCATACCAAGGCGGCACAATCATGGTGTGGGCAGGAATTCTTCTTGGCGGATGAACCCAGCTCATTTGAATCTAAGGCAGCATGACTGCACAAAAATACCACGAGGAGGTAATAGAGCCTGTTATTGTCTCACAGATAATTCAAATGGGCCAGGAATTTGTACTCATGCACGATAATACTCCTTCCCATACGGCGCGGATGGTGTCGGTCGCTCTCCGAGACCACGATATTCAAGTTTTGTATTGGCCTGCACAGTCTCCCGACTTAAATCCTATCTAAGAATCCTGCTACATATTACAATGAAAAGCTTTGAGAGATTTCCCGCCAAATTTGACGACGGAACAACAACTTTACGAATACTTGCAAAGAACATGAGACCACATACCGCAGCAAGATATTGACAATTTAATTTTAAGTGTGAACAATCGATGTCGATGTGTAATTAATGTAAGAGGTGGCAACACTGATTATTAATAATTCGATTTTATAAGAAAATTTTAATTTTAGTTAATAGTTTTATAAGAAATGAAGTTTTTTTATCATACTAATTTTCTATGGTGATTAAAAAATTAAACTTTTTTATTTAAAACAAAAAAATTACGAAATGTTTTTTATTTTTTATAAAAGGCCTTAAAATCATTCATTCATTTACTATATCAGAAAATTTTCCATAGATTTTTAGATATTTGATCAAATATAAAATATCCCTAGATTCTGTTAATGTGTAATCGGGTAATGTTACTTTGTAATAAAAAATAAATAATGTTTCAACTTAATTTTTTCTTGCAGTTATTTATTTGAGTATTAAAACAAAGTTGGTTGAAAACCCAAAGAGTTATTTTCACGAAAATAATGAAATTTCACTTCGAGTTATCAAAAAAAAAAAAGTAAAGAGCTACATAATATAAATTAATATTTCAGGAAGGCGAAATCAAGAATTTAAACTTGTACCAAAATGGAAGAAATATTGGAGAGCAATACAGAAGAAAGATAAACCAGATCTTTTGGAAAAATTGAATTGGGAACGGCGTTATTTACAGAAGTTAATGATCAAGTTTATGCAGATCTTGGAAACTGTTCCAGAAACTGGTGATGTGGACCCAAATGTTGCCCGGTAAGATAACAGCTATTATATACCTTTTTTATTGCACAAATACAATGAAGAATGTAGATTTATCGATTTTTAAATTATTGATTCATTTAGCGAGTATCAAACAAATATCTTTTTATATGGAAATTTACGATTTTTCGGATTTTCCATTTACAAAAAACTTAGCCTCACAGCACAATTATGTGACTGTTTCTAGCCAAATTACATGATTCTAGGTGAACGGCAAAATATGTTACATAGATGTCCGTATGTTTTAATTGCGTTAACTTAGAAGCTTTTTTTTATAGCAAAGGGGGCACACGAGCATGCGGCCCACCTAATGGTAAGTGTCATGAACAACTGCAACACCAAGGAAATTTCAAGTGCGTTGCCGGCCTTTTGAAAAGGAATAAGCACGGACCTCAGAGCAATTCTCGTGGTAAATGCGATATAAGATGAAAAATGATGCAACATCTCTTCGCATCGCCAGTGAATCAAGCCAGTGAGAGAACTCGGTCGTCGACGATTCGAGCCGCTCTGTGCTGGATGCGGTCAAGTGGCAAAATGTCAACTGGCTCTGGGGAGCCCGGCCATTTTAAATAGATTTTTCATATCCCCAAGGGACTACAGACCCACCTTAGTATATGATATTAATTTTAACTTGATCCCTCAAACCTTTTCTGAGAAAAAGGGTCTTGATAAATTGATAAACAACAGTGATCTTATAGAGTTCCCTTTTTCCTTTATTTGGGCGATTCAGGTGGTGTAGAACCGGCTTGTGACTAGCTGTTATGATATCCTGACTAGATGACATTATAAGAATACATCATATTATAATATGATAATTTAGTTTTTGATTAAATATATAAGCATATAACATCTTAGACCTTAGTGTATTAAGAAATAAATAAATTTATAATATCCTTTAGTCCAAATAGTGGCTCAATAAATTTAAAGTATGGTAAAAGTTTAGTTAAAGAAACTATAGACCTTTAGTTTTAATATTTATCCATGTTACTATCTTTTTACGAGCCGTGGTAGCTCAGATGGTTAATGCTTGCTGTAAATATAACAGAACGCGAGTAACCCGGGTTCGATCCCCGCCGGCAATAATGAAATTGTTAATTGCAATTTTAAGTGCTGATTTACCACGTGCTCGGCGGTGAAGGAAAACGTGTGAGGAAACCTGCATGTCCGAGGAATAAGAAAAAAAAAATTCGAAGATATGTGAAGTTCGCCAACGCGCATTGGGGCAGCGCGGCGGACACTTTCTTGCCCTAAAACCCTCTCAGAAATGAGGGGAGGCCTGTGCCCAGCAGTGGGACGTATATAGGCTGTAACTATACTATACTATCTTTTTACATGACTGTTTGTTGCATTAAATAAGTAAAAAAAAATAGTAATAAGAAAATAAATATAGGTAAAATAAAAAAAGCTAATAAACGTTTTGTTCTCTGCAAGATACTGCGAGCGCTTTTTGGAATTGATGATCGACCTCGAAGCTCTACTTCCTACACGTCGTTTTTTCAACACTGTGATGGACGACTGCCATTTGGTGGTGCGTTGTCAGCTGTCTGCGCTCTCGAGAAGGCCTGAAGGACAGCTGTTTACCCAGGTAAGTGATCGCCCGCCAGGGTGTTTTATATGTTTATGCACTTATTGTTTTGTTGAGTGCGTTGAATAAAATGTCTTGTAATAATTAGGTATTTACAACAAGTGTATTATGTGTGATGTGTATTATTAATAAGAAATGATAGCGCGTACCAGACATTTTTTTATCAAGATGTTCAGTCTGAAAATTTAAAAATATATTTAAATCTAATTTAAAAATATAATAACGTCTATAATATATTGTATGCATTTAAAACATTTCAACCTTAATTACGCTTATATATTACAACATTTAATTTTGCGAACATTTTTTACGTGTTTTCGAAACGGATAGGTCTTGTGTCTACAGAGGCTAGAATAAAATCAAATTGTGAATGCAAGTCGCTAAGCGACAGTAGACAAATGGTTAAGGGTACGGACTGCAAGTTAAGAAAGTTGTGGGTTTGAAATTGACGAAAATGGGTCGCCATAGAATACTATAATACACAATAGAATGGCTGTCAACTTTATTTTGTACGAGGTTCGGCGTCGCCAAACCCGATTCGCTGTGTTGACAGACTGAGTGAATTTACACATTTTAGACTTTTGATTAATGTTCAATATCAGCATTAAAAAAAATCGTTTAAATTTTAATACATATTTATTTGTAGATAGGGTGCTATTTAGCATTTTTTAAATAATTTGGATGTGAAATTTGGAAACGATTGTAACGTCAAAACACATCTCGTGTTGACATTTATACGTGTGAATTGACGTGTTAGTGACATTTTAGTGGCTACGCGGGCTCCGCCCACTCCCCCGTTCTATTAAGTATGTATTATAGTATTCTATGGGGGTCGCAAACTACGCCCGCTGTTTTTCAGTGTGGTCCGTTTCGTCTATTGCGAGTAGTTTAGGCAGTGGTATATCTTAATATAGCGTTACTAGTCTTCTTTTTCTAAATAAAAAAAACACCAAATGATTATTTTATATGTTCAGTACATCTAGAAAGTGGACATAGAAATCCATATAATTTTGTGGGTGTCGTGTGAATTGACAGACGAAAATTAAAAAAGGAGATGGGATGTCATCTTTCTGAAAATAACGCAAAATCATAAACTGCGTTCGCCAACCGCCTGCCAAGTGTTGAATCTATGGCAAATACGCTCTTATTAGGCAATCTGTGGGGGAAACCTATGTTCAGCCTTTTGATAGATGGTAATTAATAAAAATGTTATTAAGAGTGTGCTTCAGATGTTTATTTTAAAGACGGATTGATATAAATTCGAAAGACCTTGTCATTGTAACTCTTGGTAGTAACGGATTGACGAGTAAGTTCTTGCTTTGCGCGGCTTGGGTGGCGTGCAGCGGCGTAGCGTACCGAACCGCTATAGCCGAAATTGAATCTCTATTTCAAGTTAAAGAAATACGATTTGCGAGTTATGCAAACCAAATGGCCAAGGCTGAATCAGAACTTGTTTTAGAAGCACTTTAGTTGCTACGTTAAAGGTAAACAATTTCTCAAGAGAATTGAAAGTATCAAATGCTAAGACAATGTATAGTGGCACAAGTATCACCGCTACTCACACTAACTTAAGGCGATACCCCGACCAAAACCTAGCGATTGTGCGTTTTTCGGAGACTATTATCTCATTAGTTACGAGAAATAAGCTACATCTAAAAGTACATTATTAATGTTCGATATCCTATCATCACATTCCACGTTCTAATTTGTTTTTATGTGTTATGAATACATTTAAAATCAACTGTTAAAAATGACTAAAATTGCATTACATGCATCTGTTGCTAAAGGCAACGCTCTGATCATTTGTGGATTACATTAATGGATAGAAAATTTAAAAATCTATATTATTCACGTTTTATTTAGTTTCTTAAGTTCGCTTTTCTTTTTTAATTGATACAATTCCAAAATTTGGGCATATTTCTTACGCGACATATTGTAGCGAGAGCGCGTGGATTGTATAGGACCGAACCCACATCGAAAATAAACGCTTAAAATGGCTTCGGCTATTCCACCCCGCGCCCCGCTAGCGACACTCGTCAATCGATTCCTAAAATTTTAAATTCACGCCAAATGCTCAATCGGAGGTCAACGTGCGGTAAACAGAATAGAACAAGCTAGCTTCGGAGTCGCGACACACTATTTTTTTTTAATGTTTTTAAGATTTTGCATCATTTATACTCTTCTTGTATAATAACATGTAGCTGTATATGTCATTGTTGTTGTCGTCATGCGTTATTAAAAGAGAAATCAACAAAGTTTATAATTATTTATTTATTGAAATAATAACTAAGTCATAATTTTTAAAACTGATTATATCGTAAAACAGAATTTGTTGTAATGATATTTTATTCCTCTTCTTCTTTAGGGCCATAATGCACATTTTCTTTATTTTTCTTTTTTGTTACATAATTTGGATCCTGAATTTGTTTATTACGAGTAAGTCACAGTTCTACCAATTCCTGTAGCAAGCATTCAATATAAAATGATAAAATAAATTGATAGAATCAGTCGTTACTTTGCGGAAATCCATTATAAATTCTTGGAATAGTGGTGTTGGAAGTAGTGGTGCCGGGATTTGTGGTGACGGGATTAGTGCACGCAATTGAGGGAGGGCGGGAGATGCTCTTCAATCCAGGTAAGACACATCACTGCATTTAATCAAGCGGATGGTTGCAAATTAACTATTGGTATCTTTATTAAAATGAAAGTAATTTTGGCTCCATTTTTTCCTTCCAAAATTGGTCATCCTTTACTATTGTTTCCACTTTTATTTTATTGCGTCTATACCATACTGCCAGTAAGCATTTAGATATTTCAGAAATATGCATCTGTCCTTGAACTTGCATGAACCAATCATAATTTTTGTTCACCTGGATCTCACCACTTTTTTTATTTACCCGCCAGAAATGCATTTTTCCCTGTATTATGACTTCGTCAATACCGACCTTGTATGCAATTACGAGACACGTGATTTCAAACAGGGTGTTACTTCCTATAATATCGTCAGGCGTCGCTCCTAAAAATGGATGATTTTTGTCTATGAATAGACTACAAGGGTCTATCTTTACGTCTAGTAAATTTTACAGTTGTTCCAGAATTACTTTTTCGTGTGTTCGGCCGTGGTTTATTAAAGACAAGTGTCCAATGTCTGATCTGTACAACATATTTTTTACTGTACTACTGCAACTGTTGCTTTTAATTCTTTTGACAATCTTACCAAAATTAGAGGTTGAAATAACCTAGAAAAAAAAAAAACTCATTAATATCACTAAGAATAATATAGAGCACAGCCACAGCGTCTCCATCGGATTACTGTTCTAATAGTGCGTATTGCATTGTATAACGACCAACGGAATGTGACCTCCACCATCGTACATAGACTATGTTGAAGCGGGCAAGCTTATAGTGGATATAACAAGGGTGTGGAGTCCCGATCTAGATACACGGCCAGTCTATGGATGTTGTCTATATATAGGTAGCATTTAGTCAAATGGCATGTTTTATTCCCGCAAAAAATAGCTCTAAAATGGAACTATAAGCAACCACGCCCAGAAAACCTAACGATTCAAGTATCATTTTACGTGGTAGAGCCATGCTGCAGTTATATTAGTAGTTGTAGCACGAATGGGTCGACTCGACCGGGGAAGGACCACGCTCTCACACGCTGGTATTCTTACCAGCGTAAAATTGCTGATGTGTTTCGTATGGTGTGTGTAAAGAACCGGAGACCCTTTTTACGGGAAACGAGGCATTCCATCTTAGTCCTCACGGGTGACCATGCATCTGCATTTTGATTCGTAACCGAGGATAGATGTCTAAGGGCCACAGCAACCACTTACCATCAGGTGGACTGTGTGCACGTTTGTCACCCTATCCTATAAAAAAAATCATACCCAGAAGCGTATAATGCAGAGGCATATTTTATTTATATACGATTTTGTTCTCTATTCCCTTGTGGGTAATTTGAATTATCTAAATGCCAAGTTGCTTGAATTATACTTAATCTAGGTAGGCAGGTAATGTTCTTTATACAATACGGCCGACGTATCTTGGCGAGTCTGAATATAGGCTCTGCGAAGTTTAGCGCATACATAGCGAACACTCGTGAAGAAAACTGTTATTGTCATTTTTTTATATATACCAATGTACAAATAAAATTTCCCTAATACAGTGACCAAAAATATCAAAACACTTTGGAGACATTATAAATTAAAGATTCAATTTTGATACCTCACCTTTCGATAGGGGCAGATTTTATCACAAACACATACAATATTATTTACATTTAATACTTTTTATTTATTTACACTTATTATTATTTAATCACTGTCGCTGAGGGGGGAAATTCCTAACATAAAGTCGTCGGCCCCTTGTGTACCATGTGAGGTACTTGGCATAGGTTCATCTTCGTAATCGTCGCTCTCACTTTCAGACTCACTTTCTGAATCTGAAGCTGTATTAATGATGAATAATTGATCCGTCATTTCGTCAATAATATGGTCGCTCTTCCTATAGTCATGTTCGACCTCTTGCACTTTTCTGCATAAAGCACTCCATTCATTCTGACCCATTAAATTTACTTTTTCTTGTATGAGCTCCATTGTCCGGGTTACGTTCCAGTCGACGTTTTTAGCGGCTACGTGCCCTTTAATGGCAGCCCACACCATCTCGATGGGGTTTAAATCGGGATGATATGGGGGTAAACGAAGGACATCGTGGTTGTTTTGTTTAAACATTTCATCTATTACGTATTTTTTATTCACGTCTTTGTTTTTTTTTTATTAGATCGTAAAGTTGTGGTTTACGCATGTCCTTTTCATATGGTATACCCTTTTCTAATAACCACGATTCCATTTTTGCCTTCTTGTCATTAGATGTAGGGGCAGGATCCATTAATTTGTTGTGGTACGGAGCATTATCGATAACCACCACCGAGTTAGGGCTCAAATTTGGAATCAGTTGGGTCCGTAACCATTTCTCATAATTTTTGAAATTCATGTCATCATGATAGTCTCCGGTTTTGCTGCCAGATTTGAACATTAGTAGCGCGTTCGGAACAAACCCTGCTTCTGACCCAGCGTGTACCATCACTATCCGCTGACCTTTTGATATCGGGCGCTTTAGTCCTTGAGCGGAACCATCTGACCACGCCTTACCTTTTGTATGTGATGAGTGGGCATACGACTCGTCAGTGAATACAATTGGTCGCCCTTCGTCCCTGTATTTTTTCATTGCCTTCAAGTACAAGATCCTTTTCAGGCGAATGTCGGTCTTCTCTATAAGAACCATTCTATTGGTTTCGGTCTTTCGCCACTTGAAACCCAAGTTTTTGATAATTGTCTTTAAGCTCGTTTTACCACCTTGAAAATTTATATCCCGTTTGAGTTTCGCTAGTAATTTGTTTATCGTCGGCATTTCTTTTTCAGTTTTGTGGAAGTTGTGTATGCATCTTTTTACTACTCCCTGGTCAAAATTATCCATATCAGTAATAGGTTTTGATCTAGACCTTTTTTTGCCAGGCGTGCGGAATACTGAAAGTAAGCCCGAAATATTGCCTTCAGTTGCGATCCGCTGTACTGTGCGTTGGGACACACCAGTTGCGTTAGCAACTCTTAAATAAACTTTATCGACATCTTTTACGCCTTCTTCTTTTTCTTTTTTCATATATTGCGTTAAATCGTAAATAATTTTTCTCGCCTGGCGATTTAACACACTGTTATGTTTTGGTGGCATGTTTGGCGAATAATATAAGTGCTAACTGACACTTGCAAATAAAACAAATAAAACAAATAAAACAAACAAAACAAACTTAACACTATTAATAAAAACAAACAACAATAACAACGAAAACTTTTGTAACCGACTGTGCTCAAGACAGAGATAGCGACACGAACACGACACCAATGCTAACGTGTGACTGAGAAATATTACCGTGTACCGAGCATTGCCGAATAAGCACGAAGCTTTACGAAGTAACCAGAAAGGGATGTCCAACACGCGTGCCTGAGGGTGTTGTTTAATCGATTTTTATTCAAATCGATTAAAATTAAGACATAAAAATATATTTATTTGCAATTTATAAGGAGGTTCTAAATTTTCTCAAATAGTCGTTACTCAAGAAGACGTTAATAGATAATTGATATTTAAGGACATTATGTCTTTCAGCTGAGAAAATAATATGTTTTTAGTTTTTTTTTATTTAAGTCGAAATCTTGTTTATTATCAACAAAATTCACTATATTTGTAAATCTATTTCGTTTAATATCTTATATAAACAAAAATCAATAACTTCTAAATAAAACTAATCGATTGCGATATTTTATGACTAAAGGGTCGATTGTGTTTACTTATGGTCAATCTCTAGCCTAGACCACCGCCCCCCGTACGTCGCCTCATGCCACCATTTTGTTCCTTAAAAAAGCTATTGCGCAACCTTCTGCGCGAAGGTCGGACTCGCCAAGATACGTCGGCCGTATCGTAATTAACTACAAATATACGTGACACTAAAATGCTATTAAAATATTTACAATGACTGACTGGTTCGCCTCCGTCATTCTAAGGACATTTTTTTTTTTCAAATTGCTCTTACCTTTTTCTCCTATATACTTTTTTCTTAGTATTGTTGCGCGCCACAGTTGATGGCACTAGCGCTATCTGGTATCAAGTATCAGAAATAGTGTCAAGATCTTTCTAGAACTCTCCCAACAGCGCCATCTAGTATCGAATAGAAAAATTAAGCTTTCCAGAAAAGTCCACACTCGAACTTTCTGCACTTAGTCGGTCGGGACCGGTATTTGCTGGAACATTCTGGATGTTTCGGTGGAAAAGGCCTATTTAAAACCGCGGCCGGAGCAGTATTGAATTGGCGACACAAGCGAAGACTTGGAGCGAAATAAAATGATCAGTGCGATTAATTACTGGTGTGTTTTAAGTTTTAATTGGTGTTCAGTAATTAAAGTGTCAATTTTGGTAATTTTTATTGTCACAAACCCTAAGCTCGTAACAATTGGTGTCAGAAGTGGGATCAAATCATACCGATTTTACCGAAGAAAGACACGGAGGATGTCCGTACCCGAAGTCAACGCCAGCAGGAGACGGACCAGAGAAGATTTGGTGGTGCAATGCCGCAGACGTCAGAGGGCCAACTGCCAGCCACGGAGGCTGGTCTGTCAGCAACTCCTACACCTGCAGCACCTGACTTAGATGTTGTGATGGTGATGCTGCAGGAGCAGGCTCGCCGACAGGAGGAACAGGTCCGTCGGTTGGAAGAGCAGTTGCGGGGCGGACAGGAGGAACAGGGTCGCCGGCAGGAAGAACAGGCCTGCCGGCAGGAGGAACAGGCCCACCGACAGGAGGAACAAGTCCGTCGTTTAGAAGAGCAGCTCAAACGCGATAAGGAAGAGCATATGCTTCTCATGAAAGACCTTCACGCTACCTTCGGAAAAGAGATAAGGGAGGTGAAGGGTAAGGTTGCTCAACATGACAACCGCCTCTCGGAAGCTGAAACCCAAATCAACCAAGTGAAGAAAACGCTGGACGGACTCAAACTTGGGAATGGAATTACATTTCCCGTAGTAGCTACAACACCTTCGCTACGTGGATTCAGAGTGCCCCGTTCGACGGGACTTCTTCATGGTCGGCCTACAAAATCCAGTTCGAGGCTGTCATGAAAGCGAATGGCTGGAATAAAATTCAGGCTATGACTGCTCTCACACTAGGCCTGCGCGACTAGGCCTTAACTGTTCTGGAAGCCCTCGGTAAGGAAGTGACTTACGAGCAGCTCCTTGAGGCATTGGAGGCTAGATATGGCGAAGCTCACCTGGAACACGTCTTTCGTGCGCAGCTTAAAGATCGCGTGCAACGCATTAACGAAAACCTGCAGCAGTGGGCTCTTGAGGTGGAGAAGCTGGTGCGAAAAGCATACTGGTCTGTACCTGTGCTAATTGAAGGAAACCTGGTGCAGACAATCATCGACGGCATCCGCGACCTTGAAGTCAGAGCTGCTGTGAGGCTCGAGCACCACGTGACGCTTAAGGAAGCCTTGGCCCATGCACTTGAGGTTGAAGCCGTGCGGCAGAATCATCGTTCCCATCGCGTCAGGGAGGTTGCAGCACTACAGTTCGCGACCGCAATAAAGGGTACAGCCCTAGGTGCTATTGCTGTGGAGAAAGGGGCCATCTTCGATCCAGCTGCTCTAAGCGAACTGTAGAAAGGGAAGGTGATCGATCTCGAGGGGGTAATGCGGCTAACGGCACCGCCCAACAGCGGCAGGATCATCGTTCTCCTCACGTTAGGGAGGATGCAGCACCTACAGTTCGCGACCACAATAAAAGTTACAGCCCAAGGTACTACGGCTGTGGGGTAAGGGGCCATCTTCGACCCAGGTGCCCTAAGCGATCTGTAAAAAGGGAAGGTGATCAATCTCGAAAGGGTAGTGCGGCTTACAGTACCGCCCAGCAGCACCGGGAATACGACTTTACTATCGGACACTGCAGCGGGAAATGGCGTGGCAACACAGACGCATTGTCAATAAGACCTTATCCTGATGATTGCGAGAACAGTACTAGGCAAGAGGGTAAAGAAGTGGTATCCGTGAGGATGCTCACGACAGACCACCTCAGCAATGAGTGGCAGGACAGCTTACAACATGCACAGCAGGAAGATCCGGACATCAAGCCGATTCTGGAATGGATGAAGGCCGGTGCTCCCAGGCCCAAGTGGAGCGACGTCTCAGCGATGAGTTCGACCACAAAAAGCTATTGTGCCCAATGGGACAGCTTGCTAATTCAGAATGGAGTCCTGTGCCGTAAATGGGAAAATGGTCGAGGAGACAGCTATCGTTTGCAAATGGTTGTCCCTAAAGTTAAAGTGCCGGATGTTTTACAGCTATACCATAATGGTTGTTCAGGAGTCCATCTGGGAGTTAAACGAACTCTACTGAAAATCCGAGAACGGTTTTACTGGGTCCATTATCGTGACGATGTCGAGGATTGGTCTCGCAAATGTACAAGTTGTGAGGCTGTGAAGGGATCTCGGATTCGCAGTAGAGGTGCATTGAAATTGTACAATGTTAGTGCACCATGGGAGAGGACAGCCCTTGACGTTGCGGAGCCGTTTCAGAAAGGTGCAAGAGGTACTCCTAACGTCCATGTGGATCAACTGGCACTGTGAATTCCTGACTTGAAACATTGATAACGTTAGATACACATGTCAACAATACTTCGAAATGTTTATCTTCATTATTCTACTACCCAACAATTTTTTTAGACGAAATTCGAGATTAACTTAAGAGTGGGCCCTGTTTTGTTTTGAGTAGTTTATTTGAGTATTTTCTAAGCATATAGATTAAGCAATTTCGTTGTAATTTCAACTATAGTGATATTTTAGAGGTGTTTTCGCAAATAATTATGATCAAAATTATACAATCGTGTTTTTGAGCAAGCAAAGTCAAGATAAAGACATGAATTTACCTATATCAAAATTACAGTTTTGTTAGTCGTGTCATAGTCCCATACTATTCGATGAAAGGAGGTGCATTTTCTCGCGGTGTCGTCTTAAGTATAAAGGTTTTCTATCCACCTTTGTTGGAATGAGGGTTTCATTTGGGATTCGAATTCAGTACTGGTTTATGTTCATATCCTATTAATATATTTTTTATAGGATCATCTGTTGTTGCCTGTTGTGACAGCCACCAGAAGAGATGGAATAAGGTTTCTTCACAGAATCATCACAATTAAAAATAGTAGTTACAATACATACAAAGCATAGATTATGGTAGTTCTTATAAGTTTAAGGTAAAAAAATAAAACCAAACAGTTATACAGAGTTATAAACCATTTTATTGACGTAAATTATATTTTCATGCGATTCGATTCAGTTCACTTTAATTGACTTAAACTATAATAATTGTTATAAAACTATACTTGTAAATAATTCGTAAATTAATTCAAAAAAGTAAATATGTAAAATTGTTAAAAGTTATAAGAGGTTTGTTAGTGCCAGAGAGCATCCTAATATCATTGTACAGTCATTGGGTTGTCAGCTGCCTTTTCAAAGTCAGTGGGACGGAGAGAGAATTTTTCATATTCAGATGCATTGAATATTTCAGTCTCATCATTATAATACTCCATTATTATGTAAAATGTAGTATCATCATCATTTTTAAGAATCAGTAAATATTACATACAAGTTATTCATATAATATTCTTAATTAATTATAATTAAACTTAAAAGTTTTGGTCCAAATTAAAATGGCTAGATTTGTAATTTTAAATTAAGTATCTTTTGTGAGCAATATATTTAACAAAAATATCACAAAATCTAATTATAATTCATATAATCTATCTTTTTTGGTCACTTGACGTAATAAAATTTATATTTAATAGCAAATTCGCGTAAACCTAAATAACGCAAATACGGTAAAGGTGATATTGACTTTTGTAGCATTCGCATTATTTTAATTGCTCTATAATCTAACAGAGTAAAGACAATTTTTTTAAATTTAGTTGTTTACACCTTTACTAATAGATTACAACATAACTATTAATTAGCGCCTCAAAACTTGTCAACTTTAAGATTTATATTGAATTACATTGTTGTTTTTTTATTATTTAAAACTATATACAATACAATGTTTTCCGTGATGGTACTTTTAGGAATCGTGATACGAGATTATTTTTATGTAATCCTTTTCAGAAAATAAATAACAATACCGCTACATTTTTGTAAATACCGTCGCCGACGAAAATAATACGTTTTAATTTCTTTTTGTTCATTTCATCGCGGTATATATGTGCCCCTTTCGAATCGGAGAGTATTTTTTTTAGATATTGTATATGTGGTACTAAGACGTTATTTAATACTATTCCTATACAATTTCAATAGAAAGTTTCGTTCAATAACTCAGTTTATGGATATAAACTACCTTATATTTTTGTATACTTCTCAAATTTAAGCCACTTTTACTAAGGCACAATACTTTTGAATATTTTAGAGTGCTTTTGATATTTAATATATAAGCTTGTGTACATCACAGTAATAATATTTAACTACCCTAAAAAACTATTGTTTGTGTGCCTGAAATTTTAATTTGTCACTATAGTTTTTATCTGTAACTGATATAAGTTGTATTGAAGCAGGTACTAATAGTTGCCACCATTCATATGGGTCATTTCATCACCCCATTCACCAGTTGGTACCGGCTCAGCATAACAACAACTTTTCCTTAACAGAAATGTCACGTGTGACTGACGCATGACACACACGTAAAACACTAAAATAGCTTGTAGCAGATTTACTATAATGTGTGCGTAAATCAGGCCGTCAAAGTTTAACCATGACAGAAGAAGGAACAGCCATGCTGTAGTCATTATTAAAAACAGTTGTAGAAATAAATTGAAGCTGAAAAATAAAACAAATTTATCAGGTATTTCCTTAATAATTAAAATATTATAGTTACATAGAAAACGACTCACCATCCTTTTAGTTTATGATGAATCCTTCCATAGATGTTTATTCTTTTTATTACTTTGAGAGTAGTAATATAAAAGAAAACATTAAAGAGTATTGTGAATGCTACTGGTGTAAAAAATATTGCGATACCTAACCATCCTGAAAATGCATATAAATATTAGTGCAACATATTATTACGAAATATTTTAACTGTTTAATACTTCAATTTTTAAAGTCTTAAGGCTATTAAAAACTAATTTTTTAATTTTATACTGTAACAGATTTTTTTAATCAATATAGATTTCTTAGTAATAATTATTGAAAGTCACTTTTTTAATTTACCACTGGTTTGGAAAAAAAAACTTTTTCCTGGGAAGAACCAGCAAGAAACCCAGAGGGACTTTAAAAAAAATAAGTTTACAATCATGTATGTTGCACAACACAAACAACATTAGAAATAGCTAAATAGCTATCGCCTTTCACAAGGGGTTATTATCGTCCATAAATTCCTTACTATAATAAGCCTTTTTATACAAACTTAATAAAGTTTTTGAACTTTGTACAGGTCAAATCTTGTATATTTTCTGGGATTTTGTTGTAAAAGCGTATACATCGCCACAAGAATGAATTACTGATTACTAAATCGAATCTACGTCTTCTTTAATAACCAGTGTTAAAATTTTAAATAGTAAAACATTTTTACATTATATTATTGCCATACCAATTGTTTCTTGTTCCACATCATCAACTAGAATGGAGGAAGAGAATTGAGTGCGCATTTTTCGGTATGGGTTTGTCCCGGTATCTAGCAGAAAATGCGCACCGATAGCCATGGCTGCCATCAAAATAACAGCTGACCACACTACGCTCGAATAGTAGCAGTATTTGCGTACATCGGTAACTCGCAGGAAAACATTCCTTGATCTGTAAAATTACATAAGAAATATAATAACTTACGTTCTAATAATAGAATAGTAAAATAATAACTTTACTTACTTAAATGTTTTCCAAATATAAAATCCAAAACTGTTTAGCCAAAAGAATGCACCCAATAAACTTATATAAAGAATTATATCTAAAAAGGAAAAAATACATTAAAATAAAATCGAGGCACATAAATTATGTCTATTAATATTAGTATTATTTATTTTACTATATTAATACACACACTCGGCTGGGCAGCGTTCGGGAAATTACGACACATCTTCTCGTCAGGTATACCTCTCTCTCATCTCATCTCTGAAAACTAAAGTGTACAACCAGTGCGTGTTGCCAGTGATGACTTACGGATCAGAGACGTGGTCCTTCACTGCTGGCCGTATGAGGACGCTCAAGGTCGCTCAGCGAGCTATGGAGAGGGCTATGCTCGGAGTTTCTCTGCGTGATAGACTCAGAAATGAGATATCCGCAGTAAAACCAGAGTGACCGACATAGCCCAACGGATTAGTAAGCTGAAGTGGCAATGGGCCGGCCATATAGCTCGAAGAACCGATAACCGATGGGGAAGAAAGGTTCTCGAGTGGCAGCCTCGTACCGGTAGGCGTAGTGTAGGGCGACCCCCCACTAGATGGAGTGACGACCTGGTAAGATATGCAGGAAGTCGATGGATGCAGGTGGCTCAGGACCGTGCTTTGTGGCATTACTTGGGGGAGGCCTATGTTCAGCAGTGGACTTGTGAAGGGCTGTGATGATGACGATGATGATGATACACACATATATAAAATTTAAACTGCCCAACCAGATGAGAAAATATATTAATACCCCCCAAAAAAGCATTAATAAATGTTACGATTAGAGAATTTTGTAATGATCTAATTATGTTGTAGAGAGAAGAGAAATAATTTACTGATTTTCTACCTAATTAGCATATTATTATATTGGTTTAGCTATTATTTGTAGCACGAATGGGTCAGCTCAACCGGGGTAGGTGACCAGGCTCACAGAATACCAGCTTAAAATAACAGCTAAAGGCTGTCGTGTTTCATATGGTGAGTGTAGAGAACCGGAGACCCTTTTTTACTGGAAGCAAGGCATTCCATCTTAGTGCTCAAGAGTGACGACATATCTGCATTTTGATTCTTAATCGAGGATAAATGTAGATATCTATGGGTGACAGCTTCTACTTACCATCAGGCCGACTGTGTGCATGTTTGTGACCCTTATTCCATGAAAAAAAGATTATCATTACTGCCATTCACAACTCCACTGAACACAGGCCTTTCCCAAGAAATGCCATGAAACATGGTCCTTAGCTAACTATATCCTTACACTTCCTGCATGGTCTTATCAGGTTGTCACTCCATCTAGTTGGTGCCCATCCTACATTTCGCTTATCATTACGAGGCTGCTGCTCGAGAGCCTTTCTTCCTCATCGGGTGTCCGTTCTTTGAGCTATATAGCCAGCCCACGGCAACCTTAGAATACTGATCCATTGTATTAACATATATTTTTCAACAGATAAACTAAATGTTCACTCACCAGTAATCATAAAACTGACATGGTTACTAAATTCCGTGAATATTCGTACTAAATCTGCAGCTTGACTTACAATCAAGCACACATTAATACTTGTTATAATATTTCCAGCTAGATCCCGCAATGTAGGCAGTACAAAGTATATTATAGCTGTCAATAAAAATAATACCATAGCGATTGCATGAAACAGTGGATTCAGAACCTTTCTCATAAGGAAACTTGTATCTTTCCAGTTAATCTTTACTTCTGGCACACACACTAATGCATATTCACCAGTTAAATTAGTGCTAGTCATGAAAATCTGCAAATAAATAATATTAGATAATTATAGATACAGTACAGATATTAAATAATAAATGTAAAAAAATCTATCTCTTTCCTATCATTTAGAAAGAAAATTGATGTCGCAAAACTGCAACTAATGATTTCATTGAATCCGTACTGTCATTCTTAAAAAATATTTTGATTATTATTCACAAACACACCATGGGTTCAGGAAAAGAAACTATTATACCTAGCTGTAATAATAATTTAACACATTACCTTATCCATGCAATATTTGTTATGGTCATGAATATATGATGATGGTTCTTTAACCTCTGGTATGACAATAGATCCATGTAATGAATAAGTGTTGGATGCCATATGTTCATCTTTGATACTGTCATAGCTATGTTCATGATGAATAAGGTGCCTCATACGTCCGTCTGAGAGTAGATTAAGCCTTAAAAATATCAAAATTACATTTGTACACCGGTGTTGAGTGACCTTTTAATACTAATATATATATATATATATATATATATAATTTTATCATTGATCTTTTATCAAAATATGATATC